AAGAGAGAGAGAGAGAGAGAGAGAGAGAGAGAGAGAGAGAGAGAGAGAGAGAGAGATGCTTTTGGGTGGCCAGCCCCAGGTGGAGTGGTCAGAGCCAGTACTCGCTCCCCAGGGAGCTGAGAATATCAGAGTGAACTTGTACTGTCCAAGTATTACTAGCTATGGCAGCTTGGAAGGCACACAGCCTCACGCTAGGGGAAGAGGAAGGGAGGGAGGGAGGGAGAGAGGGAAGGAGGGAGGGAGAGAGGGAGGGCTGGCTGCTCTGAAGGAACAAGGGCTGCAGGGTCACACCCGCACCGTAGATAGGATTGTGGAAGGTTACCTTGCTGTGCTCTTGACTTCCACAGCCACCAATGCCAACCAGCCCATTCACATGGTCTACGTCCCCTCCCACCTCTACCACATGCTCTTTGAGCTCTTCAAGGTAAGAAGGCTGCCCTTCTCAGGAGGCTGGGAGGGTCAGCCCTCGGCCCTCAACCTTAGCAGCGCTTCCCTTACTGTGTCCTTCATACTTTCCCCAGAATGCCATGCGGGCCACGGTGGAGAGCCACGAGTCCAGCCTCACCCTCCCTCCTATCAAGATTATGGTAGCCTTGGGTGAAGAAGATCTGTCCATCAAAGTATGTGACCCTTGACCTGACCATGGGAGGTCATGGGGATTAGGGTGAGGAGTGAAGATAACCCTGGAAGGCATCTCACATGTCCCTTGTCTCCCAGATGAGTGACCGAGGTGGGGGTGTCCCCTTGAGGAAGATTGAGAGGCTCTTCAGCTACATGTACTCCACAGCCCCCACACCCCAGCCTGGCACTGGGGGTACCCCACTGGTAAGATGACTTCTTCCAGTCTCCCTGTCTCCTGCTTTCTTAACTCCCAAGCATACTCCACATCCCCCACCCCCGCAGTGGTTGTGTGGTGACAGCCTCCTGCTGCTAATAGCTCCTTCCTGCTGATCATCTGCCCATGGCTTAGCTGTCGCTTGTCCGCATTGCTCTCTCTTCCCTCTTTCTCTGCTGCATTGCTCATTTGCTGGCACCTTTGTCCCACCTCCCATGGACTAGGCAGTCCTGTGCTTACAGAATGGGCTCTAGCTGGGCGGTGGTGGCGCACACCTTTAATCCCAGCACTCGGGAGGCAGAGGCAGGGGGATCTCTGTGAGTTTGAGACCAGCCTGGTCTACAAGAGCTAGTTCCAGGACAGTCTCCAAAGCCACAGAGAAACCCTGTCTCAAAAAACAAACACACACACACACACACAAAAAAAAAAAAAAGAAAAAGAAAAAGAAAGAAAGAAAGAAAGAAGAAAAAATATCGGAATGGGCTCTAAGGAGCTCATGGGGCTCTAAGGAGCTCATGGGTAGAGCTCCCCTGTCCAGCTTTCCTCCCCGCTTTCTCTGCAATTCCCTTGCCTACCACCTACTCTCATCTGCTCCAGGAATTCCCTTCTCCACCCCTGCTCCAGCACTCCTGCCTGTCCCTAGTCAGGCATCCCTGGCTCACTTTATGACCTGTGGCTTGTCTGCAGGCTGGCTTTGGGTATGGACTCCCCATTTCCCGCCTCTACGCCAAGTACTTCCAAGGAGACTTGCAGCTCTTCTCTATGGAGGGCTTTGGGACAGATGCTGTCATATATCTCAAGGTGAGGCCCACTGGGGGCAAGTTTGCTGCTAGCAGGTTTCTACCAATCCCTCATCCTGGCTCCAGACTCAGAGCTGAGCCTTGGTTCCTCAAGTGCTGTAACTTGGCCTTTCATTGAGAGGGAATGCCTTGGTGATTAATAGAGGCCACCCAGCCCAACCTTCCCCCTCTCTTCTTTTTACCTCCCTGACTTTTGAGGGAACAGCTTTCTGGAATGGACCAGAGAAAGATACAGAAGGTTCAGACCCTTTTAGGGGTTTTTGTGGGTCTGGTTATGGGGCTGACTTGGACATGGGTTAGGATACTAGGGGTGGAGAGCATCAGGGCCCAGTGGGAAGGGGTAGTGTGCTGAGGATTGGGAAAGAAGGAAACTGATGGCAGTGCTCCCTAGGCCCTGTCCACGGACTCAGTGGAGCGTCTGCCTGTCTACAACAAGTCTGCCTGGCGCCACTACCAGACCATCCAGGAGGCCGGTGACTGGTGTGTGCCCAGCACGGAGCCCAAGAACACATCCACGTATCGGGTCAGCTAGGGGCCTTCTCTCCCTGGCACCTGGGAGGATGCTGCCACCTCTGAATCCAGCCACCACAGGGACCTTCCCTATCCCCTGGGGTACAGAGGGTGAAGCTGGGTCTCCCTAATGGCCAGGTCTGTCTTTGTAGAAATCTCAGTGACCCATCTGTGGTGGTCTCTAAGTGCCAATCTGTCTCTACAGAGAAACCTAGGGAGTTTCTGTGGAGCCTGGTCTCCATGGTGATGCTTGAGGGTTGGGGATGGCTGTATCTGATGGGGTACCCCAGAGACACTTCTCCACGGCAGTTCTCACAAGACCAGAGCTGTCAATTTTCTACCAGAGACCCTGGGTCCCCGTCACTGCCTGCATAGTCCTGGCCTTCCGAGTGGCTGCCCTGCTTGCCTTATTCCCACACCCTGTACAGGTATACTGGGCTGTGTCCTTTGTTGATGTTAAGAAGGGTGGAGTGCCCTCAGGTCTGGAGAAAAGATGGAGAGAGAGGGTGCACCCTTGACCCTGGTCCTGCAGCCTTTCTCTGTCAATACCCTGGACATTAAGGTTGCAACTGGGAACTTGAGATGAGAGTGGGAAGTCATTCTTACCCAAGGCCCACTTCTAAAGTAGCGGCACCTGGGAAGGCTGAGAAGTAACCTGCCCCACCAGGACTCCAAGACGATCGATCAATCTTGGCAATGTTTGTGCCACTTCCTAAACCCTGGTCCAGCATGTCCTCACATGTGCACTCCCCTGCCGAGTGTACACCCCCCCCATCCTGCCTGAGCTTTAGACCCCACCCCACCCCACCCCCGTGCTCACAACGTGTGCACAGGTGACTCATCCCTAGAACATTCTATGTACATAGCCAGTTTTGTAATTTCAATGCCTCACCCTTCCCCTCAGCACACAGGGGTTAAAGCCGTGTGCCCCTCCCAGTGGCTGGGATGGTGACAGTGACATCCACAGTAAATAGATGAAATGAGACTGGTGACTGGCTGCCTTGCTGGGGGAGGGTGAGTCCACACATGAACACTTGTGAAGACTGGTCCTCTAGGACTAACTGTACTCAGGAACTGGCCTAGCTAGCAACCAGAGCATACCACAAGGCAGGGCCATCCACTGAGAACACCTGGCAGCCCACTGGCCAGTGGTATGCAAGCCATAGCTTAGTCCCTCATCCCAAACAGAAAGATCATTGGTGTATGGTAAATATTTATTGAAAGAAGTTGAGAACCATATTCCCCCTTCACATGCAGGTGGGGCACACTCGGCTCCTGACAGCTTTCGGGACAGTAGGGCCTCCACCCTCCCCACCCAGTCTAGATAGTGCCAATGCCCCTATACCTTAGTTTCCCTCTGAAGCCCCTCTCCCAGTGCAATGGCTGAGCCCAAGCACAGGGTCCTGGCCATCAGCCACTTCATCAGGCAGGAGAGAGGGAGTTAGCATGCAGGTCCTATCCACCCCTCTGGGAAGCTGGGAGGGGTGGGGGGTTTCTTCTCAGAAACCTCCTGGGCCCAGTAGTCACTGACCAGCACCTGAGAAGCTGGGTCAGCATGGCATCTGGACCCTCTGTCTCTGAAAGTACCCTACAAAGGACATATGCCAGACCTACCCAGGGCTGACCCAGTCCTCCCTGTAGCCTAGCAAACCTGAGCCAGCAATGTTTGTCAGCTCTAGGCTCACTGAGGCCTTGACACACCCAAGGGGCCTAGGGAGCTGATGAACCCTTCTGATCCAGCAGCTTCCAGGCCACCCTCAGATTGTGCCTCTGCCCGGCTAGTGTGATGAGAGTCACCAGTTCAGTGCCACCGAGGCACTAGTGTGTGTGTGTGTGTGTGTGTGTGTGTGTGTGTGTGTGTGTGTGTCCTATGTCCCCATCAGCTCCCATTTATCCTGACCCCAAAGAAGCCTCAAGCACTCTCTGAAGAAGTCGATTCTAGCTCTGCAAAAGGTCAAAGACCCACCCACTCCTGACTCAGTGGGAGAGGAGCAGTGTCATCCTGCCTGCTGGGACCTGCAGGCTAGTGAAGAGGAGAGAGAAAGAGTCCCCTTCTCCCCGCTCTGCAGTCCTTACAGAGGCTAGCTTACCCTCCACCGCTCGCTCTTCTCTCCTTTGAGGAGGTGTCTGGGAATCTACCCTGAGTGTTGCTACTACAGTGCCCACTGGCCTCTCTGGGGAGAGCTGCTCTCCTACCACACAGCCACCTTCAAGAGCTGAGGAGACACAGCTCTGTCTCCTGTTGGGATGCCCAGGCTGCTCTCTAAGCCTAAGGATTCTGGTCATGGTAGGGCCTCTCTTGCTAGCTCACTTCCTCTTCAGTACCACTCTAGCCAGAGGGAAGAGGTTCAGCCTGGACCGGGCTCCTCTGGGTTCCAGATTTGCTGCATTCCTGGCCTCTTCATCTGCCACCTGCTTCCCCCCCGGAAATCTGTGCCAAACAAGTCCTCGAAGTTGGGTTTATTACTGGGCCCTCTCCGTGGGATCCTCCAGAGGATTCGGTCCAAACAGGGTGAGAGGGGTCATATGCCCCAAAGAACCTGGTACCTAGACCCTACTTCCCTGGTGAGGCCCCTGCAGGTGGCTGCAAGTGCTCTGGGGTGCCAGCCCCCCCGGCCAGCCATCCCTAGCTCTTCTTAGCCTCATGCTCTCGGCGTCGCAGCTTCTCGCGCTGCCGTGCAGTCTTCTCCTGCGCCTTCCGTTCCTTCTCAGCAGCCGCTGCCAGCTCCTTCAACTTCCGCTTCACCAGTGCCCGGTCATGCGAGTTGCTAAGCCCCAGGCTCTGGAATAAACCCAGGGTGAAGGAAAGAAGCCCAGAACACTCCTCCCATGGACTCCCTGCAGACCCCTGGAGTCTGCTCTGAAGTATGGCCTTTGCCTAGGGATTGGACCTCAAGGGAAGAGGAATGGTTTGCAAGTGGTCATAGAGAGGACAATTGGCACTAAGCCATTTGTGCCCCATCCTTGGCTCCAGATCCTCAGCCTCGGTGCCATGACTGTGCCCAACCTCCTGAGGTCCTTCAGATGGAGAGTGATTTGTTCAAGGTCACACTGCTAGGTGGCAAGGTCTCTCCCACTTGAAGATTTCCTATGGTCCTTCAAACCCAGGAACCTACCATCAGGCTCTGAGACTAAATATGGCATGGAGCTGGCCAGAAAAGAGGCCTGGCTACCCAAAGGGCAAGGTCAACCTGAACACCCAGGCTGGTGCTAGAAGGTCAAATGGAGACAGATAATGGGCTTAAATTTCTTTTTTTTTTTCTTTTTCTTTCTTTCTTTCTTTTTTTTTTTTTTTTCTTTCGAGACAGGGTTTCTCTGTGTAGCTTTGGAGCCTATCCTGGCACTCGCTCTGGAGACCAGGCTGGCCTCGAACTCACAGAGATCCGCCTGCCTCTGTCTACCGAGTGCTGGGATTAAAGGCGTGCGCCACCAATGCCTGGCTCATGGGCTTAAATTTCAAGTCAGATTAGGGAGTCAAACTACATTGCAAAGATTAGAGCAGACCCTTGCATAGAGGTCAGAAGCCAGGTCAGTGGCTAGACAGGGAGAGGAAACCCCAGATCAGTCCAGGAGACAAGTCAGAGCCATGAGTCAGGACAAAGGGGGTCCTTATCCTTGCAAGCTACCCCAGTCTGGCCAGCCTTGCACTCTACCTTCAGTTTGCTTCCATCCAGCTGCAGGAGCTGTGGCCCATCCACCTGTCGGGCAGCAAACTCAGCAGCATACTGTTCCAGGTTGAGGCTGCACAGCCACTGGCCCACCTGCTGGCTGGTCCAGTGTTGTATGGTAGGGAGGGACTCGTCCAGGAACTGTGGTAGAGATGGGGAGAGTAAAGGAAGCCCAACCTGTGGCCAGGTCCCCAGCAGGCACAAAGACTAGCCTGGCTCACCTCATCTGAAGACTGGGACAACGTGTGGTAGGGATAGGAGCACTTGGTCTCCTGTCGAGGACCACCGGGGATCTTGGGGCTGCTGCTGGGAGGTGTGGAGTCATCACTCAGGGTGGATTCCTAGACAGAAAGGATGTGTGCTGAGGAGCAAGTTCATCCCCCCAAACCCGAGCCCATCACCTTGACCAGATGGAGCTAAATGCTGGACTAGACACCATTAGTTGTTCCATGCTCCTGGTCATGAACCCAGAACTTAAGTGACACATCAGAACCTGAGATCTCTAGGAGGGAGCTGGCTACCCAGAGGCTAGCACTAGGTGAGCAGAGGAATTAACAGGAGTGGAGGGACTAGGTGCTGCTGCCTTCAGGTAGCCCTCCAGGATTCCCCCAAGGCTGGGTCATTTGTCCCTGTTTCATGGAGTCCCTCTCCTTGGCCTCTTGCATAGTGGCTGGAGGATACCCTCATTGGCCTTGGATCTTTGTGAGGACTTGGGCTGTAGTCTCACTCAGCATGGGTGTCCCCTAGGACCAGTGCAAAGGAAAGATGGGAGCAACTGAGGAAGGATGTAGGGTGGTTAAAGACCAAAGCTGCACATCAGAAGGGTCTCTTCCCCGAACCCCCGGATTTCTGAATCTCCTAAGCCCTGGCACCATACACATTTGTGTACATCTGTGAGCAAGTCCCTTTTCTCTGGACCTCATTTGCTCATCTGTGCAGTGCAGATAATGCCTGCCCTGCCTACATCACAGTTAAAGCAACACATGAATCCTGAGCTTTGGAAGATATAGTGGTCTGTAAGGAGACTTTAGTGTTGGTTGTGTTGCTGGTTCTCGTTTCCTAGGGTCTGAAGCTTCCAGAGCACCAGGTAGGAGTCCCGATCATCTCTCTCTCTCTCTCTCTCTCTCTCTCTCTCTCTCTCTCTCTAAAACTTCCTACCATGCAGGTGGCTAGCTCTTGATGGTGAGGTCCAGACCTGACTCAGAACAGTAAGAAACAAGGGGGCCTCAGACGGACGGAGTGAGCAGTGGGGGCTCAGTGTCCCCACATGATGCTGAGTGGAGGAAGCAATATAAATGCACGGAAACAAAGTGAACTGGTATGAATGCATGGACCAGGGAATGAATGAAAAAACAGAGAGTGGATGGAAGTCACGGGTCACTAGATGGCTCTGTGGAGAGACACGATAGGTCCCAGAAAAGGCTGGGTCCCTCTCCAAGCCCAGATGAAGCATGCCCTTGTCATGAGCCTGGAAACCAGTGTGGGGCAAGAAGGTCTTGAGGTTACACTGGCAGGATGGTACACTCTTGCAGTCCCAGGCCAGCCAGGGGTACAGAGTAAAACTGCCTCAGGGGGCCAAAAGAAAGACGAAAAGGAAGGCTGGACGGTAAGAGGGGAGGGGAAGAAGGAATAAAGACCCAGGCTTACCTGGGAAGCTGACTTCTTGGGGCTGAAGCCCTCGTGTTTGGGGGAACAGGTCGGGGAGGTGGTGCTCCCTGAGGAAGCAGAGCCTTTGCCGCTGTCTGTGAACCAGGAAAAGGGCAGGAATGGGGAGCTTCCTGTCCTTCCAGAACCCTCTACAGACTCCCTGTGGAGAAAACATCCAGCATGGTGTGGGTGTCCAGGAGAGGATGGGAGCCGTGGGTGGATGCCATGGGTACCTCTCACCTGCTCCCCATGGACAAGCGGTTGCTACCCTTCTCCTTCCGGCTCTTGCCTGTGGATGCTCGGCGGAGAGTGACCCTGTAAGGACGCAGGGTGAATGGAGCATACCTGCCCACTGTGATGCTCTGACCCCAACAGCTCCAAGGACCCATGCAAGACCTGTCCCCACTCACCCCAGGTCCAGGAATTTTCTGCGGGTCTTCTTATCCAAGCCGATGGTGGGGCTGGCAGGCTCAGGAGGGCTGGCATCCCGGCTGTCATCTTTAGAAGAGAGGGAGGAAAACAGCTAAAGCGGTGATTTGTGTGCCTCCTGCTGCTGCCCATGTGGGGTGGTAGACATTTCTTGACTTAGAATTAGACCATCTGGCTCCAGGGTTCTTCATTAGCTGTGTGACTCAGGAGATGACACTCTCTTGTTTTTGAGTTCTCCTTCATTTCAAACATAGAGACATGTCCATTTTACAGTATCTAATGGGAGTCAAGGCATTTGCCTTTTGCAAACTGAAAAAGCACTTTACAACTGAGAAGGCAGGACTATTAATGTTTGTTAGTTTGTTGGTTCATTTGTTTTTGAGACAGGTCTCAATGAAACCCAGGCTGGCCTGGAACTCCTTTTATGATCTTGGTCTCCTGATTCTCCTGTGTTTGCCTCCTGAGTACTGGAATTACCAGGGTGCATCACAGTGTCTGATATGCCGTGAACAAGACTTTCTGCATGCTAGGCATACTACTGACTTTATTTGGCCATCTTCGAGCCAGCCTTTTAATCTTGGTTCAAATGTCACCTCCTCGGGGTAGCCTTTCAGGTCAGACAACACTCTTCAACTATGCATGTTTCCTTCTGTTACAGTTTGTAACTATACGTTAATTACGAGGTTATTTGGTTGTTTCCTTCCTAAGTTACACTTTCCCAGAGGCCAAGGACTGTATCACTACTCTGTTTGGTCCCAGCGATGTCTATCATATAGGAAGCTTCTGTAAATAAAGAATGGAACCTGTTGGCCATCCTTCCACCTCCCCTGTAGTCACCATACCGCCTGGCCAAGCTGCGGTTCCCGTGATCGCCGGCAGGGGCGTCGCTCCTGCCGTGCTCACCTTCGCTGTGCGGCTCTGCTCTGGGATAGCGGCGCACGAAGCTGGGGGAGCTGTCCGAGGAGGGTGCGGAGCGCGTAGGCGAGCCGGAAGTGGCGGCCAGGCCCTCATGCGAGGCTGCATTGTGCAGGGGCCGGTAGCGGGCGAGGGGCGAAGGCGGCGGCTCGTCCTCATCCAGGCTGCGCCGCAAGCCGGGGGGCTCCAGGCAGAAAGAGCCTCCGGCGGGGGAACCTGGGCCCGAGTGCAGAGGCGAGCGCAGCCGGTGCAGCGGGCTACCGCAGCCGTCGGTCACCTGGAAGAAGGGCAGCCGCTCATCCAGCCGCCCCTCCTCACTCCCTGGAGTAAGCCAGCACCAGGGGAGCTCCGCTTCCTGGGGCCTAGAGGGTGGGTTCCTCAGGTCTAGGGATGGGGAGGGCCTAGGGAGAAATGGGTGCTCACATGAAGTGAGGACATCCTGCTTCATTTGCTAGCTGTGGGACTTCCAGAACCCTCTGCTCTCCGCTTCTTCATCTATAAAATGGGCTAACACCTTTTCTACAGAGGTACAGGAACCAGAAGTGAACAGCTAGTTGACATCCATTTGGGTGGATAACTGTCAGATCTTTGGGGGCACACTTCCCTGGAAGGGGCAGGGGGAGGGGTGATCCAGGGGCAAGATGTGAGTGTGTGTGTGTGTGTGTGTGTGTGTGTGTGTGTTACCCCAACCTTGCCTCCGGGCCCATCAGAGCCTTCACCGTCCTCAGCAGAGCTGGCACTGTCACGTAGCCTGGAACGGGAAGGTCGGTGTCTCCGGCCCTTGGCCAGCAGCTGGGCCCGGGCTTTGTGTAAGCTGCTGTCCAGTCTGGTGGTCTCTGGTACAGCCAAGTCCAGGTCTGCAAACAGAGACCAGAGCCCCCTCAGGTGGCCATCCTGACTCATACCGCAGACACTGAGCTGGTGCTTGGGAGTGCAGCCTGCTATGACTCAAGGTAAAGTTCCAGCCTCCCAAAGGCTGGTCTCCCAACCCACTCCTGAGGGCATGGTTGGCCTATGTGCAGACACTCACACAAGCAGGGATGAGAGGAGGCACACCACCTGGATCCTAAAGACTGGGTGAGAGTTGGCAAGCATTGAAACGGGAGGGAAGTAAGGAGTAGAGAGGGCGCCTCTGGGTGGCAAGAAGTAGCTCTTTGGAGACAAGAACTGGAAGAAAAGCTGTGGAGATCAGGGGAATGAATCTGCTGTGCACCCAGTGTGATGCACACATCACTAGCCTCCTTGGAGCTACCTGGGGAGAGGAGGTTACAGCATCTGCGACACATTTAGGGCCGAGCCAACTAGGACCAAAGAAAGTAAGTCAGGACTGGAGCCACTGGCTAGTAACAGTCTGGGGTGTGGCTCCAGAAATGATCCCTCCCGGGGATACTATCTTGCTGTGCCACACTCTTTAAGGAAAGCAGTGTTATGCATGGGAAAAGCCCTCAGTTGAAACGAGGAAGCAGGACATCCAGACACCAGTCTCAGGAGCAAAGCTCCCACAGGCCCTTGAAGCTTGTCTCTTGGGTCCTGAGCTCTACAACCCGGTGCTACACCCTGCCAGAAGCTGGAGGACGAGTAGACATACCTGCTGGGAGTGTGGAAAGCACTCCATGGCCACAATTTCACTTTCTGTTCAGCTGCCTTAAGAAGCATTACTCTGGTTCTGGCCCTGGCATGGCCTTGGTCTTCCTGAGGTCTTGGCCTCAGGATGGGTCAGCACATCCCTGAGCACTCCTCTCTTAGTATCTCTGGGCTCCCTGTTCCATCCTCAAACCTGCTTCTCTCTCGTCTGTAGGCATCTCCTACTTAATGGCCACTTTGTTCCCAGCCCTGACTCCCCACTAAACACTAAGCCTAAGCACAGAAGTACCTGCCAAGGACCCCCTAGTGCCTCAGCCAAACACAACCCACAAAAGCACACCCATCAGAGTCCCTTTGCCTCTAATCCCAGCGCTCATGAGGCAGAGGTAGATGGATCTCTGAGTTCAAGTCCAGCCTGGTCTACAGAGGAGTTCCAGGACAGCCAAGGCTACACAGAGAATCTCTCTCTCTCTCTCTCTCTCTCTCTCTCTCTCTCTCTCTCTCTCTCTGCTTGCCTTAATCAGACTTGTTGCCTCCTAGACCAATCAGTGATCTACTCAAGTCACCCAAGTTGGACAGCTCTGGGCTATCCTTCTCTCCTCAGTCCTCCTAGACCCTGTTCCCACATGTATGCTGTCTCCTTGTTTCCCGAGCTGGATACTCAGCAGTGTTTCAGTTCATAGTCTCCCCCTGCCCCCATGGCTCTCCTCCTGGTTGGTCTCCCTATCTTGGTAAACAGTGGCTCCATCCTTCTTGCTACACAAGCTAAACCCTGGGGCTTTTTTGACTCCACTTGCCTGCTCCCAGCTTGCCCCCTTTCCTACAAATTAGTTTAGCTGTATTCCTGATAGCCCTGCCCTCAAAGTTGTTAGTCCTGTTGAAATACAGAGATGAAGCCTGAGGCTGTTTTCGATGAGATTCAAAATGATCCAGGGTGAAAAAAGTCTGGCCAGGCGGTGACCATGGTGGAGATGGAGTGACCAGAACTTGAGCATATGACAGGGTGCATTGTGTTCTTGTCTCTACTTCTGAGGATGTCTGAGGTTTTAATTTTTTTTTTACTATTATTTAGCTATGTGTGTGAGTGTGTGTGTGTGTGTGTGTGTGTGTGTGTGTGTGTGTGTGTGTATGGGGGGTATATGCATTTGATGCACTTAAATGTGGATACCCTCTGAGTTCAGAAGAGGGTGTTGTATTCCCTGGAACTGGAGTTACAGGCTGTTGTGAGCTGCCTGACCAGGGGTGCCAGGAACTGAACTCGGTTCCTCTACAAGAGCGGTACTTGCACTATAAACTGCCCACTCTACAGCCAAGATCTGAAGTTTTGTTAGCAAAATACTGTTTATGGTTTAGTTTACACGTGCACATGCAGAGAGTAATGGGAAAGAGGGGAGGGGAGGGGGGGAGAAGGAGACAGAGGGGCGGAGAGAGGAGCACCATCATCTCACATCTCTGTTATTACAAATGGCCTCCTGCTCCCTTTTCCCACTTAGTGTTTTCCAGCACAGCAGCCAGAGTGATCCTAATGTGATGTGTCAGCCCTGCACCCCCCCCCCCCCCCCACCCCCCCGCCCCACCACAGTGTCAGAGCCAGGGTTCTCCCAGAGGCCCTCTACATTCAGTCTGTGCTCCACTTACCTCTCTGAGCTTCTGCCTCCATCCCCGTCTCCTCCTCCCACCCTTCCTCTTGCAGAAGACCCAGCCTTCACCCCAAAGCCTTGCATGTGGGACACCCTCCCCTATATACTCCAAAGTACCATTCCTGTCTTTCCCTATATCACATGTCACTCTGTGGCATCCCAAATACCTTTCCTATTTAAGCTTATTTCCTCTTTCCACCTATTAGACTGCCAGCTCCAAAAGGACGGAGTTTTCAAACTATGACTGTACCACGGACACCGGACAGCACCTGGTGCCTATGAATGCTCTTTTACAGAAAGAAAAGGGGCACACAAGGAACTATCCTGAATGGACAAGGGAATAACAGTGACCAGGGTTTCTGCCTCAGAATTGGTTGCCAGGCTGGGGCCTGGATGGACATAAAGAGATTTTTGGCTTTTCAAGACAAGGTTTCTCTGTGTAGTCCTGGCTGTTATAGAACTTGCTCTGTAGTCCAGGCTAGTCTGGAACTCAGAGATTCACTTGCCTCTGTCTCATGAGTGCTGGGATTAAAGGCGTGCATCTCTACTGCCTGGCTAGAAGATTTTCTAAGGAGAGGGAATGGTACAGTCCTGGGCTTGACTGAAGATGGAAATAGAGTCAAAGGCCAGGGCATTTGTCCAGGGGTGTGGTGAGGGGCTGAGAGGGGACAGCCACCGTCAGGACTGCTCTTTGGGATCCAGATGTGACTCACTTCAGTCCTGATGAAGAACATTCTGGAACTAGCCAGGGCCAGTAATAGCTCACACTGCTCTAAGTGCTTCACAATTACCGGTCACTGAAACCTTTGGCAATCTTGGAGGAAGGGACTCAGGATCCCCAGGGCAGCTTTAATTTGCCCAAGAGCATAGAGCTGGCAGGGACTAGTGAGGTCAAAGACATGCAGGCTGACTTGTTTGGGAGTACCCGACACATCAGCCTTGCCCTTTCTGAACAGAAAAGGAGGCAACACTGTGTCTAAGCCTTCATTTTATGAGTGGAGAAACTGAACTCTGACAAGAGAGGTTTCATCAGTTGCATGGAGGGAGTAACAGTGGAATCCAGGTCTCGTGGTCCCTGGGCCAATTCTCTAACCTCCTCTCCACTGCTGGCACCCAGCTGGTACCCAGTCATCTGCATCCGGGTGATGGGTCCTTGCTCCAGAAGGCAGCATGGGTATCACCCACGGTCTGGAGAGCAAAGGGTCTCCTGAGGGCTTGGGGGTACAAAGCAGGGTGGCGCCAGTCTCACCAGGTTCCTTCAAACCCTCCTTTCATCTGCTCCCTTCCCTGCCTCCCTCTCTGGGCTCTGGGCAGTGGGTATGATGAATATTTAATTGTTTTCCTGTGAAGAAGCATTCCAGGCAGTGCCCAGCTACCTCAGCAGACAGCAGGAAAATACGAAAGGATTGGCGAGAAGTATGGGGTAGGAGGTGAGGAGAAAGAAGACAGAAAAGCCCTCTGCCCATGAAGGAAGCTCACCTTTATGGACCTGCCAGGGTTAGGATGGACTTGTGTAGAGCCATCCTCAGAGATAGGGAAGTGCTGGGGGGAGGGGGGAGTGGGGGGATGGGGGGAGCAGTGCTCCCAGAAGCATTGAGGCAACGACACTGGCATGACCGGGGCCAGTGGCGATGGTGAGAAGAGGGAAAGGCAGAGATGGGAGGAGCAGGAGAAGCTGGAGTCCTGTGACATTCCATGTCTAGGAGCCCCTTAGAGTTTCACACAGGAGTCATCCCCTCAAATGCAGCTAGGAGACAGCTTTCTTACAACACGGCCACAGAGCCTGCTGACAGCTCTGCCTCTAGAAATGGTAGTGTGTACAGGGACACAAGCGGATGCTGAAGGCAGGGGCAGACAGAGGCATGGAAGCTGTGTGTGTGTGTGTGTGTGTGTGTGTGTGTGTGTGTGTGTGTAGGACAAGATCTCTAGCACTTATATATATGACTTGGAGAAAATGTATGGTGTCTGAGCTGGAGTAGACAGAGGTTTAGCCCAGTGCCCTCCTAAGGGCAGGGAGTCAGGCACTCTAAATTGCAACATGATGTATTCATTCATTCATTCATTCATTCATTCATTCTCTGTGTGCATATGTGTATGAGTGCATAGAAGCCAGAGGTTGATGGCCTCAATTCCTCTCCACCTGAGTTTTTGAGACAGGGTCTCTCACCGAACCTAGAGCTAACTCATTTGGCTAGACTGGCTGGTCAGCAAACCCCAAGGAATCCTGTTTTCCTATCCCCAGCACTAGGATTACAAGTGTGCACTGCTGTGCCAGTTTTGTTGTTGGGCTTTTTGTTTATCTGTTTGTTTTGAGATAGGATCTCTTTAATGTAGGCCTGGCTGTCCTTGAACTCTCTATGTAGACCAGGCTGGCCTCGAACTCACAGAGATCCGCCTGCCTCTGCCTCCTGAGTGCTGGGATTAAAGGAGTGTGCCACCAACGCCCAGCTTTTGTGCCCAGTTTTTATGTGGGTGGTTGGGACTGAACTCAAGTCTTCACACACACTTTCAGGCTATTTTAAAAAATTATTATTATAGTGTGTGTGTGTGTGTGTGTGTGTGTGTGTGTGTGTATGAGAGAGAGAGAGTGTGTGTGCATGATGTGTGAATGTGGGTGTTCATGTCATAGTGCACACATGGAAGTCAGAGGATAACTTTTGTAGAGCTGATTTTCTCCTTCATCCTTTATGTGGTTTATGGGAATCAAACTCAAGTTGTGCAGCTAGTGCCTTTATCTGCTGAGCCATCTCACTAGCCTCCATGTGATCTTTAAGGCAAGTCATATTGGCATTCTGCATCCTACACCCTTGTCTATACAACTAACATTATTATTATTATTATTGGTTTTTCGAGACAGGGTTTCTCTGTATAGTTTTGGAGCCTATCCTGGCACTCACTCTGGAGACCAGGCTGGCCTCGAACTCACAGAGATCCGCCTGCCTCTGCCTCCCAAGTGCTGGGATTAAAGGTGTGCGCCACTAACGCCCAGCCCACAACTAACATTATTTTGAGAATCAAATGACATACTGCATGTGAGATCAGGTGCACACCATGTCCTGAGGTGCCCTATCTGCCCTTACCCCATGCCATGCCTAATAGCTGTGAAGGAAGGACTCCATTGCTAGACATAAAGTCACACAGAACTTACCAAAAACTTCATCCACAGGTTCTCGGAGCTTTGAGGAAGCCATGACTCAAGAGAGCTGGGAAAGACAACAAGGAGAGAGAGAGAAAAACCCTGGATAAGAGGTTCAAGTTGGTTGTGGCAGTAAAGAAGCCAATAGCTTCTTGCTTCCAGCCCACGCTGCTTTCCTTTCCTTAGAACTCTTCCTTTGGTCCTTGGAAGAGAAGCCTGTGGGTGCTGAGGCAGGAGTCATAAGCAGGAAATCCACAGCAAAGCCAATCCAGGGCACAAACTAGGCAGCTTCTCTGAGCTAGGCCTGACTACTGGTTGTTGACTTCACATAGGTCCCTGCATTGCCTTAGGCCCTCTGATCCCCCCCCCATAGAAGCCATGGAGAATATTAAATCCAGATCTCTCTTTTTACACAGAAACAGAAGAGGAAGCATCTGGCCAAGAGCTCGCACAATTAATGGCAAGTACAGATTTAAAACCTAGGTTCTTCCATCCATTTGCCTACCTAGCTTTAAACCTATCTGCTTGCCCTCCTCCCCCTCCCTTCCATGTGTACTCCATCCATCCAACATCTATTATACCCATCTTTGCATCCACCAGCTCTCCATCTCCCATCCATCATCCCATCCAGCTCTCCCTCCTCCATCACCGGGTCCCTCGCCACCTGCTTTTCTGAACTGAGCAGCAGGAAGCTGGCTTCACCAGCAGGACCACTCACTATTTCAGACAGAATCCCAGTCCTCACGGTTCCTGACAGACTCACAGATGCAGCAGGGCATTAAGTTTTCCCAGCAGAACATCTCTGAAGCATTCAGAATGTTCTGGGAAGGAGTGTGGATGGACGGAGTTGTACTGTTGTTTTTGGTTTCAATGTTTGTTTTGTTGTGGGAAGCAAAAAGAGCAAGTGAGGAAGGAACACCTTGGTCAGACTTCCTAACAGGTAATAGAGGACTCAGCTAAGAAGAGAGGAAAGGGGCTGGAGATACTGCTCAACAGTTAAAGAGCACTGGTTGCTCTTCCAGAGGCCCTGAGTTCAATTCCCAGCAACTGCATGGTGGCTCACAACCATCTAGAGTGGGGTCTGATGCCCTCTTCTGGCATAAAGACATACATGTAAAGACTCACATACAAAAGACTCATATACAACATAAATAAATCTCAAAAGAGAAGGGGAGGGAGGGAGCTCAGGGATCACTGATGGCTCAGGGCAAGGGAGACACTGAATGGCTGAGACATGGTCTCCAGTTACTTCTAATGCTCTGGTCTCTGGAAGAAAGGCAGGACACTGGACTGGACCACATTCCCTCTAGCTCTCCTGTCATTTCACAGACATCACGTCTCTGTGAGCTACTGGGCTTGGCTTGCTGTCTTGGTATCTCCACTTTAATATGCAATAGCTAAGCAGACGTCGATCCAGTCTCCAGCTTCTCAGCCCTACCCTAGAGACATGATATGCAGTTTTGGTGATGCTCAGGGGAGGGCTGGGTAGAGGGAGGGGAGCTGGTCTGCCCTGGCTGGGATTAAGGCAAGCACTAAAACCACCTCCACTAGGCTTCAGGGATGCCTGGAGCTAAGCCAAAACATGCCATATGGGAGAGGTCAGCGATTGCTCAGCCAGGCTCCCTTTGCCGTTGTTGAACTCTGGAGACTAGGAGCCAAGATCTAGAATATTCCTTCCTGGCCTGAGAGACCAGATGGGAAGATAGGCTGGCCCTCAATGTAGCCTTCTCTGACTAGGATCCAGCTGTCCCTTCTCCAAATTGCTGTCCTGGGTTGCACCCCCCCCCCATTTGTCTATACTGTTTTGAAAGCCACTTCTCCAATTCCTTTTCAGACTTTACTGGCTTCCTACTTGGGTCTTATCTCTCCTTGTCGGATGAGCCATGTGCTCTCCCTTCAGACTGGAGACTCGGGGTAGTAGCTACTTCTCCCACCAGAATGGCTGCTGTCTGCAGACAGTAGTGACATCTCTCTTAAACACAGGGAAGGCCAGCCCACGTTCTTTATTGAAGGCCCCAGTCCAAGGGGGGAGGTCCTGGTGTGCATCAAGGTCTGTTTTAGCCCCTTTGGGTGGACTGGGGCCTCCAGCTCAGACCCTCAGCCCATCCTGATTCAGCACGAACTGTTTTCTTTACCTCTGTCTTAGCAGCCAGCTCCCATAACTGTGGGGGAGCCTCTCTGCACTATCCCATTCGAAACTCCATGGAAGTGTAACATCCAGGAGGTCACCTGCTCCTGCCACCCAGCTATCTTCTCCCAGGACTCAGCCTTGGAAAATTAGATGCCCAGCCTCACCCACCCTCCCACTCTTACACACCCTCTCTCACTCACAGGTGTTCAACTCCACCAGGGTGGAAATGAACCTGTTCCCTTGGACAACCTTTGGGTTCCCTTGTTAGCAGATCACTCCCTTCCCCAACAACTATCAATTCCCAGAGGACCATTAGTGACCTCTGACCTTTCTCTGGGAAAAGGAAAGGCAGGTGATTTCCAAGCTACCCAGAGCCCCAGGGAAGGAGAAAGCAAAACAAAAGGTATACAAGCTGGGAATGGAACAGAAGGAGCAACTAGCAGACCCAGAGGTAGAGACTGACAGTGTCCACAGGGAGCCGAGAAGAAAGATCAAGAAAGAACAGACCCAGGAGGCTCCGGAAAAGCAGCTGGGCAGCCTTGAGACCCCACCATGGGGTTAGAGAACAGAACACCTGCCTCGCAAGCCAGAGGGGAGAAGGGGACACAAGTAGAAGAGAGGGGGGAGAGAGAAAGGGAGACAGAGGGAGAGAGGCAGCTGACAAGTCGCAGAAGTGGTTGACCGATGGCTGGCATGGGGGAGGCAGTTGTAGAGCCAAGGAGGCCATGCCCCTCCCATGCTACCAGTCTTCAGCCAGCCCCAGGCTTGGAGCGGTCCACTGGAGTTTGACAGCCCATCAAAGCGCCACAGAAGATGGGGTTGGTGGACAGGGCACCTACTCCTATCATAGAGTCCCCTCTCCCTAGTCACAGAGGGTAGAGCAGATTCTCCAACCCACCGGCCCAACTGCCCGGATAGGAAGGAGTTAAGGTCTCTCCCCCTGCCCCCACGCCAGTTTTTCTTTCCTTTTCTCTTCTTCCTTTCTTTTCTTTTTAAAAATTAATTTCCCCAGGCAGGAGGAAGGGGATTAGGGACACAAATCCTATTTCTGTTCCCTCTCCACAGCCCAGCTCCCCGGTCCAGTGAGGTCTCCCTAGGGATGGAGGAAGAAAGGCCCTTGTGGCTTAGCCCCACTTGGGGGGGTGGGTGTCTCTCCTTGAGCCCAATAGTTTCTGCCCCTGCTTCCCCTTCCACCCTAGAGGTCCCGGCCCCTTACCTCCAGCATCCGTCATTTCCAGCGTCCAGCGCCCCGAGAACCCCTCAGGCCCATGTTGCTCCGAGTGCCGGGCGAGAGAGGGGCGGAGGACTTTCACCCCGGCCGCGGGGGGCTCCGGGCTGGCTCCAGTCGCTCCATCCCAGAGTGTTGTTGGGGGATTGGAGGGGAGGGTCCCGGAGCCGGAAAGAATGGAGAGGCGAGGTGTGTAAGGATGCAGGGAGACGGTCTGCGGGAAGCTGGAGACGCGGGCGGGGCTGGACCGGGAAACCTGACGGGAGGATGTTCCGTGTGTGCGTGCGTGTACGTGTGTGTGTGTGTGTGTGTGTGTGTGTGTGAGAGAGAGAGAGAGAGAGAGAGAGAGGGGGAGCCCTCCCGCCCCGCCCCCGCTGATCTTGGACCCTCGCGCCACAGGCCGATTTGTGCAGCGTCGCGGTGACTAGGTCCGTGGGGTCGCCCGGGATTAGGGCAATGCGGGGGGCGCTTGTGGGGATGCGAGGGAGCCTGCGCGCTAGGAGCCGGCGAGTGACAGGGAACCGACCAGGGGGGCGGTCCCGCGTGGGGACGCACGGGGCTTTCCGCTCCCTCTGCAGGGTCTGGAAGGGCTCTCAATTCTCTCGTTCTTTTATTCAACAAGCATCCGCCGAGCAGCCAGCCTGGGCGCTGAAGCTGGAGGAGACCACTGTTGAACAGAACAGAACCCAGCACTGTCAGGGTTCGGCTAAGGATTTCCCAAGACTGAGAGCTGTGGGTCCCGCAACGAAAAAGACACTTCAAGTTCTGGAGGGGGCGTGCACCCGAGGCACTGGAGTAGGGCGCAGGGAGGATTCCTAGAGGTGTGTGGCTTCTGCAGGCCAGCCAGGCCACGGGAGACTTACTCCTGGGCATTGCCGTGTGGATGGGTCAGCAGGAAATAGGAGCTGAGGCTGGAGGGTTGATTTATTTTGCCACGCCCCCTGCCCCCCCCCCAAGGTTGACCGAGGGAGGGAGGAGCTTCAACATGCATTTTAGGAAAATTCGTTGGGCACCCCAGTGGAGAATGGACTGTAGGGGGCAGCCGGAAGTCTGGCGCCGGTCTCAAGGGATTGCTGAAAGATGACAGTAGTGGGCATGAAGTTTAAAGATCGAGCTGAGAGCAATTCTGGCTATAGCATTGAAGACACAGACAGGATTTGGAGCCGGCTGGGCAAAGAATTGAGAGAAGGAGGAATCTAGGATGACTGTGGGTCTTGGCTAGGGGCCTGGCAGTTCTGGAGCTAGGGGGTGGGGTGTGGGGCGGATGAGCTCAGACTTGGACATGGTGAGCCAGAGATGGTGGCAGGTCAGTAGTGGTGGGTGTGATGGCCAGCTAGCTAACCATGCAGCAAGACTTAGGGCATACCGGGTACTTTTCATATTCTTTAACATCACCTTCCCAATAAACCTGCAAGGCAGGGGGTTTCTCTTGTCCTCTAAGACACACAGGCCAGAGACTCAAAAACAAAATGGTTTGTTCAGGACCTTGGAGAAAGCACTTAGTGAGAATTGTAGGGTCTGGAGAGTTGCAGAACTCCTGACAGTGGCTCATGGGAATACTAGACTGCCAAGGAAGGGCCTGTGGGCAGCAGCAGCATGTTGAGCCAAGAGTTCCCTAGAACTGAGTGGGGATGGCATCAATGGGGCTCAGAGCATCTCAGAAGTAGAGGGCCTCTGGGTATCTTCAAAATCTGCTGAAAGTCTGTAGGTTCCTGTGCAGACAGGTGGATTCTTAACAGGGATTCTTAACCTTCCTAATGCTTCAACCCTTTCATGCAGTCTCTCATGTTGCGGTGACCCCCAGCCATAAAATTGTTTTCATTACTACTTCATAGTTGTAATTTTGCTACGGTTATGAATTGTAATATAAATATGTTTTCTGATGGTCTCAGTTGACACCTATGAAAGGGTTGTTTGAATCCCCAAAGGGGTCTGAACCCACAGATTGACAATGGCTGCTCTAGTGTACACATTCTTTATAGGTGTGTGTATGTTTCAGTGCTGGAATGCACCTTTTCCTATTCGGACCTAAGCTGCTGGGATCAGGGGGAAAATCCACTTGATACCCGTCCTCTGCAGCAAATGTTGGGGTTGCGGCAGATCTGCTCAAGCTCTCACTACTCAGTAGATGATGGTAATAGATGAGTTGGGGCAGTTAAGATGACAAACGTCACAGTCTGCCCACACCACTTGACAGCCCCCGAAAATGGACATATTGCATGGGTACATTACAGCTCAGGTCCGAGAAACTCCCAGAAAAGCCCACACATACACAAGGTCCCCAGTCATACAACACACTTATAAATATGAAGTGCCACTTAACCATTCCTTTGAACGTCCCCTCCTCAGGTAGTACCCAGGGTAGGTATGGGTCACAGGTCATCCACTTTAGACACTTGGCTTGTCAAACTTGAAGCACTTACCACAAACCCAGGAAGCTCCAGCGGCTTTATTTCCTGGTAAGGTTTCCTGAGAAGGGGCTTGGTAGGTTTGTGGTTCAGGGATTTCTAACCTAGGTACGAAGGCCTGAAACTTCTCTTTGGGGAATCTGGTATGGAATTCAGCCCCACCTGGATCTACCTGCAGCATCCTCAGGGCTCCCAGTGTTCCAAGGATGACGACCTGATGAGAGGAATGCCCCGAGAGGCCACCACCATTGCTAGTTTCCTGATGACTATAAGGTAGCTGTCAGAGCTGGATAGGACTTATATGGCCCTGAGTTGCAGAACCACATGTTTGAAGGTAGTTAACAGGACTGTGACAGAATTACCCGCTAGGGAATGGCTGCTTCCGGGGATGTTAACAGAGTTCTTGTAGAGACCCACTCATCTCTGTTGTTGTCAGGGGCTAGCCAAAATGACCTATGAACCTGGAGCTTGGGCCTTTTCTCTCTTACTGGAAGAAGGGAAGATGAGAATTCCCTGGGGTCCCAGCTATTAAAGTACAAGACTCTCCTCCTAGCGCCTGTACAGGAAAAGGCCATGCTGTATACTATAGGTCTCGTTGCATTCCCTTCTGGGACTCACCAAAACTTGCCCCTGGAACTGGGAGCTAGCTAATGGGGCAGCTAGTACTATATGAGGCTTCTCAAGTCAGCCCAAGAGCCCAAGGCCTCTGTGACCTTGGAGACAACAATGTTCTGAAAGTTCTCCTAGGTCACCCCAAGAAATCTTTGGTCCTCCTGCACTTTATAGGAGACTTCTGAGGTCTTGCAGAATGCTCAATCCTCAGAGGAGGGAAGTTGCTTTTCAGATCGTCCTCTGGCTTGCTCTAATCTTGTGAAAAGGAGACCCGAAAAACTGTCCAGAGATCCCACGAAAACTAGGTAATGGTGGCAAGTGAGTTTGCCGAGGCTAGGTTTAGAGAACTGGCATTGAGATCTTCTCTACATCCTGGGCAAAACTAGGAAAAGGGACCTTCTGGTACCTTCTCTTTCCCCGTCAGCGCATCAAGAAACCAGGCAGCAAGGCTCTGGGGGCTGCTTTTATGGGGACGACCTGACAGAGGGTATGGTCCGTACAAAACCAGGAACAATACATACATATATATATTATATACAGAGACGGGGTCCTCCAAGGGCGGGGCAAGAGCACTGCCGGTCAGAACCGGAAGTACATCGAAGACCCACCCACCCGGCTCCGCCCCCTCCATCTGCCTAGGTGAAGTGCAGGAGCCGGGCACTGTGACAGCCAGCTCTTTCTGGGGAGTGGGAAACGCTGGGGGCGGAAGAGAGGGGCAAGAAATACTGATTGATGGTATGGTCTATTTACAGGGGTCTAGGAGAAGCCAAAAAGGATAGAACAGGGTTGTTTAAAAAAACAAAACAAAAAAACCGAACAGAAACCTAGGCTTGGGAAAGGGATTGTGGAGGTGGCAAAATGAGATGGATTTTTAAAGGGGAGGGTACCTGAGGGGGTCTCACCTCCCTTGGTCCAAGCCCCAATTTGGGGTTAAAGTGGGGAAACTGAGTCAATTTCACTTAGAAAGCAGGCTGACATCAAGCAGCCCTGGTCTCCAAAAAGCTTAGTAAAATTTTTCCCTCCAGTGAAAACATTGGAAAACAGTGGGGGGTGGGGGGAGGCTGAATCTGTTTGATGGTAATACAAGGCTTCCAGGTGTGGCCCTGGGCAGGGCCTAGCTCCCCAGGGAGAGCTCTGCAGGCACACCATCTAAGCTGACCTTCCTCCCTCCTGGCAAGCCTAGGCTAGACCAAGGAAACCTGAACCCCAGAGTGGCCTCAGGACAGTTCCAGGAGGAGGCTATGGCTATTTGGCACCTGGGAGAGGGGAGGCACAAGGAGAAGTTGAGGGCCATTGCCCTTCCTAGGAAAGGGGGGGGGGGGCTGGATTCCAGATGTTCTGGACTCATCCTTTTCCCTATTCCGGCTCACTCCCCACCCCCAGCCCCGCCTGCCCCAAGGATACATGAGAAATCAGTGCAGGACCAAGCCCAGCCTGAGGCTCAAGGGTGGGCTCTATCCCTCCTGGGATGGGAAGCAGGGGTGGGAGATGTTGAGGCAACCCCTCCAAGCAGGAGGCCAGAATGCAACAGACAGAACAATGATAGGGAGGAGGAAAGAATCTCAAGTCAAGAGGCCCAGGGGCCACAAGGACCCTGTGGGCAGGGAGCAGCCTCCACGTGGTGAGATGCTGGGAGAGCCCCAGCTCCACTCCGGTCCAGAGACACAGGCTGGAGGTTGTAAAGTCTGGCAGTTTGGTCTGCAGGTCCTTGTGTCCATCCACCACCCAGGTCCGCTTTCAGTTTCTCTTGTACCTCAGCCCCATAGAACAAGGAGGCCACTCTTCCAGCTACCATTGTCTGCCCCGGGGGCCACCCTAAAGCGGCCTGTAATATGGGCCCTCTGGTCCCTGAAGCTGGGGGAGGTGGGGTGGAGGAGGGGGGAAGTCGGGGCACCTGTCCCCAGGCTGGTAGGAGCGGGGCGGGGATTGAGGACAGGGGTGAAGATAATGGGAGGGGATTATTATTGTCCAGTCAAGGAGCGATCCTGTTAAGTAGAATTGGAATTCCTCAGGGTCTGCAGGTTTCCTTCCAGTTCTGAGATCTAGAAAACAGAGAGGGGACATCAGGCTTGGCCACTGAGCAAGGATCGTGCCCCCAGCTCTGACCCTAAGCTCCTGGCCAGCAATACAATCCTCCCCAAACATCAACAGAGCGGTGTTCTTTGATTCTGGCTTCTATGTTGCTCCCTCTGGAGGCTGCCCAGGGCTCCAGGCTCTACCTTATCCAGAAGCTTGTCCATTTCCTCCTTCCTAGCTAGCTCCGACTCTTCCAGTACCCGACGCTGGGCAGTCTCTTTTTTCAGGAACTCGATCTCCCTGGAGACAGGCAAGGAACAGGGTTAGGGTTTATGGTGTATGTTTAGTCCAGTGAGATGCAGGTTTTCCCAATGTCTCTAGGGCCGGGGGTCTGGTATTCAGTCATTCCAGCTCAGGTACCCACCACAGTGCCCTCTAACTTCTGTATTCCTTGTCTCCCTACTCAGCTGGAGGAAGGCTGGGGTGGGGACTACCACACTGAAGGCCTCTCCATCCTGCTTGGGCCCAGATGCAAAACTCCTCACACATACTTTTGCTGGTAGTCCTTGATGAGTCGTTTGGCCTTGCTGTACTTGCGTTCCAGGGCCTGATACTGGGCCTGAGTCTCCCGCAGGTGTTCATCCACAGCCTGGCACAGGCTCTGGGCCTCACCCCAGTAGCCCTCCAGCTTCTCCATTCTCTCCTTATTCTCCTCTACACTCTGCTCCAGCTGGGCCTTCTCGGCCCGCCAGCGCCCTTTTTCCTGCTCCAGACTCTGCAACTACAAGGAAAGGGCAGCCCTGGGTTAGAGAGGACCAGAGTGAGTCATGCAGCCAACAGTCTTTAGGAATTCTTGCACCAGTGGAGCCTGCTGGCCCCCAACTACTAATTCTCCCAGCGGGTAGCAGGTACCCACGAGTCACTCACTGATTAGCAACTTCTGCCTTATCCAGAAGATGGGAGTGACATGCCTCAGGGCTAGTGAGATGGTAGATACGAAACAGTCACCACCCGCTTGCACCCTCTGCAGCCCTGGTTTGCAAAGCAGCCTTTATCCCTGGAGAATTTTAAGTATCTAGCCCCGCTGGGCGTTGGTGGCGCACGCCTTTAATCCCAACACTTGGGAGGCAGAGGCAGGCGATCTCTGTGAGTTCGAGACCAGCCTGGTCCACAGAGCTAGTTCCAGGACAGCCTCCAAAGCAGTACAGAGAAACCCTGTCTCGAGGAAAAAAAAAAAAAAAAAAATTGAGTCTAAATATCTAGCCCCTTTCCAGCTCTCAAGTGAGCTGTTTTCCCAACAGCTCAGGCTGCATTCTTCTCTCCTTACCCTTGCTCAGGCAAGGCCCCACCTCCCACACCACTGCTATGCACAGGGCCCCAAATCCCTAGTGCCTGCCACATCTTGCACCTAACTTCCAGCCCTACCATGCCCTAAATGGAACCCTCCCCATTCAAAACCAGCTTTCCTGGCTTGCTTGCCTGTTAGAAGGTCCCACTGCCTCACAGCAGTCCCTGGTACCCAGTTTCCAGTTCTAGGTTGTCCTCCTATCTTACCTGCTGCAAACACCTCATGCTTTCTAAGCTTAGATAACTCAAGCCTTCCTGCAAACCCTCAGACTTGCCACAGAGCCTTTGCGGGTACTGTTCCATCTACCCTTCGTCATTACATTTGCCATGCATCATTTTCCCAGAAAAGCCTGCTGGGAATTCAGTGGGGTAGCATGCCGCCCCCCCCCCAATACACACACACACATGAGTTCTTCCTGATCTAGGGGTTCAGTAAGGGCCCACTCCCTTCTCTTACAGAGCCTATCAGGGAGTAACAACAGCCAATGGTGTGCAGACTCTAAGACACACAGGGACAAGGACCAACTCTGCTTTTGCTCCTAACAGTGCCTAAAGTGGCATTAGCTGTCCACAAGTTACCCTAGCTGTCTGTCAATTGAATGCCTCTTTGCTTTCTGAGCAGGAAGCCACCTGTGACCCACCCTCTGCTTCATGCCCTGAAAACACCCTCAAAAATGCAGTCTTACTTGCCCTCCCTTCCCACCCTTGGCCTGTACTCTGACTCACCCTAGGCTCTGCCTAGGCCTCTAACCAGTTCCATATCCAAGTCCTTCTTACCCTTGAGCCCTGCCCCCATCCCCATTTCCTAGGTGGTGAGAGCATTCTAGGGGACACAGTTCCATGCCTGTAGAACCAAGGCTACAGTTCTTGGAGGGGAGAGGTGTGTACCATGTCATTTCTGGATTTCCCACCATGTAGCTGCCTCTGACTTCTCCCACAGGAACAGCTACCATATCCCCGCCTGCCTCCTCCCAAAGTCAGCTGAAATCTCTCTCCTAGACACCTGTGCTGCCCCACACACCTGTCCCCTACCCTCCTCTATCCAAGTGGGAAAGAACACACACATCCCTGTTGCGCTCATCTTCACGGCCCCTGGGAATCTTCTCCCACTACCCCGGAAACCTTGTGGGAGTTGGGACTCCTTCAATATAGAGTCTGTGTGTCTACAACGCCTGGGAGTGTGTAGGTACCCAATGTGCTTGTAAGCATCTGGTGTGCACGTACAGTAGCCATGTGTGTCACCAGCTGGTGCTGTCAGCACCAGCATGTGTGCTGCTGGCCCAGGTGACAATGTGCATGTCCTCTGCTACTCTTCGTAGGCCAGGCAGCCTGAATGGTAATCATGTTCATGTGTTTCTGTGACCTCAAGGGCAGAGCGGATCTACCTATTCAAGCCAATGCCTCTGGCAGAATCAATCACAGATATCTGAAAATAATGTCTGTGTAGAAAGGAGTGTGTAGGTATCTGGGCGAATGGGTCTGTGGATTCAAGTAGGCATGTGTCACTCACTATGTGCACCTCTGTGTACTTTATACACAGAGTTGACAGGTAAGCAAAAAAAAAAAAAACAAAAAACAAAAAACAAAAACAAAAACAAAAAAACCCTCTCTCATCCCTAGGCCTGTGCAGAGAGTAGATGTGTGTTGAGCAGCAAACATTATCACCAAGAATGAGAGTCGGTTTATCTCTAGGGAATCATTCACACTCTGACTTCTGACCGAGCACTGACCCTGTACCAGGCTGCAGACTTCCTGTATCTGCAGATAGGCATGTAGCAGCTCACTGGTTTCTCACTTGTACAGCTCTCTGATGTTGGCAGTGCCTGTATTCCTCACCTTACATATGAGGGGATGGAGACCCAAGGAATGAATAGGGGAACAGATGGGCCAGAGCTTGGGATCTTAATCCTGACATCCCTGGCCCCACAGTAGTCCACGGTGGAATGGTGGGTGTGGGGGGCGGGTGCCTGTGTGAGGGCAGGGCTGCCTCTCTGCCCTCGGCCCAGCATGCACTCACATGCGCAAATGCACGCACACCCTCACCTTCCGTTTCAGCTGCTGGATTTCCGCTTCAGTGACAGCATGCTTGATCTGGAGCTGCAAACATAGGGTGGCACTCAGCTCCTAGGGCCGGCTACCCACCTGCCTTCACCCGCCACCCGGGACCCCTCCTCAAACCTCCTTGAATTTGTGCACCAGCTTCTCTGGTTCCATCTCCACAGGGGAAAGTGCGTCTTCATTCTCTGCTAGTTCAAACACCTCGATGGCCATCTCGCCCCCTGGGAATGTGGGGCTCAGTTCTTCATCCTCATCAGTGGCATACTCTCCTGTCTGTGGAGAGATGCAGGTGATGTGGACCCACCGACTCCACCTCCCTCAGCAACCCTGCTGCTGGGCCTGAGACCAGCAGCAGCATGCTCATGTCGGACTGGGGCCAGCTAGGGGACTGGGATAGACAAACTGCAAGACTCTGAAGAAACTTCCTGTACTGTTTCTCCTATAACATAGCTTCCTTGAGGACCCATCCCTCTTCCACATCAGGCCCCCTAGAACAGGGGTTTCACCTTGCTCCCAGAAAAAGGACTCAGAGGGGACTATGTTCTCCTTCTAGTTACAGGGAGACCTTCTGAAGACAGAGAGTGTGGGACTCCTCCATTTTACCAGGGGTCCTCTGAGGGGAGGGTCTGCTTCTCTTTCATACCCTTGGGGTTTGAGTTTCAACAGGCCTGGAAGAAGTAGTTGAGGCAAATGCATTGCTTCATCTAGCCACCAGAGGGCAATCATGCAGAATCCCTACCTCCTCATCATCCTCTCCATACTGGGCGTATCTCTGCTCCATCATCTCCCGCTGCCATCTCTCCTGCTCCAAAGTCTGCTGAATGAGCTGGGCCACTTCACTCTGTTCTCCAGGCCGCTCCCGGCCAATCATAAACCTGCAGGGATACCAGAGTCATCTGTCATCCTGGCGACGTCCCAGCCAATCTACAGCTGGGTATGCCACTGCCCTCCTTGTGTTGTTCCCTCCCTCCAAACCTAGGCCCTCCCAGGGGAGGTGAAGTGAGAGCCTGAGTGCAGAAGCTGTGGAATTAATAATGAATGGGGGAGCTGGGGTGATCCCAGGGCTGTCTACCAGGAGACCTGCTAGCCTTCCTGGCCAGCTTTGGGAAGCGGATGTCCGCCAAACTTTGGGCTCAGGAGCTCTCAGCATAGGCGCTTTTTCCACTGAAGAGAAAAAAAAAAAAAAAAAAAAAAAAAAACGAAACAAAGCAGGGGAGTGGCCAAAATGAGCCATCCTAGGGGATAGGGAATAGACCACAGAGGTGTGTCTTGGGTGTGCTCCAAGCCCCTGGTCAGGAAAGGGCAGGATGATGGCAACTGCAGATTAGCATGGAGAGGAAACAGTGGAACTTCCAGGCACCAGCTCCTCCTCCCCCAGCCACCCACATCCTGTTACTCTCCAGCACCCTTTCCTGGGGGGCAGCACCACTCTAGAAGGATAGGGAGTGATCTCCGGGTATCCTGCCAGAGGTGCACACAAACTTCTACTCAACCCAATGGAGCAGCCTAACCAACAGGACACGGGGTGGACCCTCGGGGAAAGATGAAGCTGTAGGTGGGGGAACCTGGTTGGGTTGGCAGTCATCTTGGCTTTTTAATAGGTGAGCCAGAGACAGCAGAAGGGAAGAATAAACCAAGAGGGGAGCATGAAGGAACATGAGCCTGGAAGCCTGAGTCCCAGGGCTCAACAGTAGCCAGGGACCCAGCGATGGGAAGGCAGGCCTGGGGCAGGGGCTGCGAGTGTAAGTTCCTCTGGCAGAGAACTGGTGCCCCAAGGGGACAAGCTTCCTGCCTGTTCCCTTTCTTGGTTCTCACCGCACTCGGCCCTTGGTATTCCTGAGGACAGAGGCGGCGAAGCTCTGCGTCACTCCCACCAGGCTTGTTCCATCCACCTCCACGAGTAGGTCGTTTACTTGAATCCTAAGAAAAAGGATATTTGTTAGGGTGTCACAGAGGAACAGAAGGCGGGTTAAAGGTGGACTCTTCCCATCAGAAACTCAAGGCTCAGTCCCCACAAGGTTCTATCATAAAATATGTGAGGACAGAGAGAGCCAGGTGTCAGGGGCCATGAGAGGGGACCAACAGGCAGCAGTGCAGGCATGGAACACGGCTGGGTGGCTGGCAAAGCCACGCCTGAGAAAGCCTTGGAGAGGCAAAGCCCCAAGGACTACATGTCCTGAGGACCTCATGCTATTATTGAGCATAGAGCTCTGGGTGTTGCCTTAATGGTCACCATGTCCCTCATAATTTATGAGTTGTATGAAAACTTTCAGGGGGTTTCTAGCCCCTCACTGGGCAGTGTCACTGATATACTAATAGTGACTGACTTTTTCAAGCATTGCTGCTGGAGCAGATTAATGATTCAACCACCACCCTCAGAAAGAAGTCAGACATGCAGAATTGTTAATAAGGTTAGGTTAAGGTGTTTTTGTTAATAGCTTTGAGGTAGAAAATCTTGAGGGAACAATTTCAAGTTTAGAAAGGCATATAACTGAGTGATGGACTTGTTGGGGTCAAGAAACAAGAAAACAGCCTGATTATTACTAGCTGATGTGACTTTCTTGCTAGGATGGGTTGGTGACCAAAGGTGACTGACGATTAATCCCTCAGTTTCCTGATATAAAAGACAGTTGATAAATGGGTATGCACCCTGAGGATTCAAAGTGGAGCTGACTGATTGTTTTCATACATAAAAGTCTAGATTTGTGATTCTTTTAAGATGTTTTTTATAAGATTACCTTTTAAGAGAAAGAATAAAATGTTTGATCCTTTCTTTGTAACCATTAATATGCAGCCTGCCAGTAAAAAAAAACTGGCTGAGAAAAATACCTTGCTTGCTTACAATCTGTTAATCTACAACAAGTTGCTTAGACATGAATGTACGTGGGTTCCTGAAAAGAATTGGATTTTTACCTGTAGTATGTAAAATGTATAATCACATAAGGGAAATGGGAAACATGCTTTTTACTTGTCTTCATTGTAATCATTCACTTAAAAGATAGAATGTAACCACAGTGTAATGTTTATACTGCATAAAAAAGTTTACTTGGGTATATAAGCTGTAAGGGAAAAAATAAAGTTAGTTAAAAGGAAGACATCAAGAGAGAGAGACAGAGGGATACATCTAGACTAGATAGAGGTAAAAAAAGAAAGAGATATAATACAAAGACCCTATAGAGGGTGGGTGGGTGGATGGGTGGGTGTGTGCGTGCTCGTGTGCATGTGTGTGTCTGTGTGTGTGCGTGTGTGCGTGCGCGTGTGTGTGTGTGTGTGTGTGTGTGTGTGTGTGTGCGTGTGTGTGTCTGTGTGTGTGTGTGTGTGTGTGTGTGTGTGTGTGTGTGTGTTTTCCTTTTTTTTGGCAGCCCCAGAAAATTAAGTTTTACTCCCTTAGATAGAAAAGTCAATTGAATGATTAGTCCCTGACTTCATGGCTCCCCTCAATCCCTAAGCTGCTGAAGCCTGGTCCTCACACTGGCAGCCAGGCAACACAGATGCAGTTATCCAGGACCAGGATAGGTGGCAGGCACACGTCCTGTAACAATCACACTCTTGCCTCTTCAGTGACACACTCAGAACTCATCTCTACACATGCATGTGTGTCACCACCCCCATGTCCTCCCAAACGCCTGAGACCCAAGCATGCCCCCACCCCCGTGCTCACACACCAATCCACATCCTCAAAGTTGCACACCTCCAACACAATCCAGCTGTGGGGGTGTCCTGGCTCCCCACAGGAAGGGGAAGTTGGGGTATTAGCCTAGACTGTGAGGGGATGCAGAAGATGGGAAAAGACTTGGGCACCTCCTTCCTCCACTTCCACCTCTTGGGAGGTCTTGGGCGTCTCGGGGCTTCAAGTAGAAATGGAGAGAATGCCTGATGTAAACAGTTTTCTCCCTTACAGCCCACATTCTCATGTAGGCACCAGCCCATGATGCTCACGCTCCTGCTTTACTGACAAACAGGCGACTGTGGCCAACCTCTGGAAAGGGAGGGGAGAAGTAAATACCAGAAAGGATGCCATCCTTTCTGCAGCCTGTGCCACCTAGGACACAGCAGGCAAGTGCCCTTTGAATTGGGTACCCATGCCTCTAACAACATGACCCTACAGTAACCCAGCCCTCAGCACTCATCTCTGTCACTTGGAGGGAGTGTGGGTGTCAATCCCTCACGGCTTATTTCCCACTTCCTCCGCTCTGCCACACACAACAGAAAATCTGGCAGAGAGGGGCATGGATGCCAGAGCTCTTGTGCCCTTCATGATCTTTCTGAGCCACAGAACCCCAGTCCTCTGGCCACAAATGTTCCACACAGGCACACATTGAAGCAAACACAATGAGCAACTTCAGTTCCAGATAAGCAGCCTAATCCTATCCACACCCGGATCCCTGATATCCACATTCCTGCCATTAGAACCCCTTCCACTCAGGCTGGGGTGTAGCTCCATTGGTTGAGTGCTGACCTTGCATGCATGAGGCCCTGGGTTCATAAGGAACCTTTTATATTTGTTTTTGTTTTTTCAAGACATGATCTCACTATGTGGCCCTGGCTGTCCTGGAACTCATTATGTAGAACAGGCTGACCTCGAACTCACAGAGATCCACCTGCCTCTGTCTTCCAAGTGCTGAGATTAAAGGCGTGTATGCACCACTATATTTGGCTACAAGGAACCTTTTATATACTCATTTGGCCTTAGCAGTTCCTGCTTGGCCTTAGGCTCTCATTTTCAATATCAGTTCCTCTAAGAAGCTGGCTCCATCATAGCGGCTAGGCCCTCCTACTTTGTGCCTTCATATATTCTTCTCCATTCAGTCAGGTTGTTTGTTCTGTCTGGTATCTGTCTACTTTATTACACTGCCTGTGTTCTGAGGGCAATGCCCTCTACACTGACTGCCAGGGCCTGGCACCAACCCAGCAAGAGTCAGGCCCTTAGTATTTGTTAAGGGAAAGAAATGTGAAGCTTTATTCCAGACACACAGCCTGTGTTCTTCCTGCTAGAGCCAACACACTAACCCTAGGCCAGTACACACCGTACTAGGTACAGCCTAGCTTCACACCCCTCCCCCCCAGAATGCGCAGGCCCCGGGGAGGACTGCCATCTGTTCATGGCTGTCACCCCGAAGCGTAGCACAGCACCTGCACAGTGGTGCTCCTTGAACATCTAAAGACACACATAACACACACAGGACTCCTAGAGGCTGCCTCTAGGTGATTACTGCTAAAAGAGACCTGGGGAAGGGAGGAGGAGGGTGGTACCTGCCATCCCGGTGGGCTGCGCCACCCTCGGTCACGGTCTTGACAAAGATGCCCAGCTTCTCCAGGCCCATGTCGGCTCCGGCCCCCATGCCAATGATGCTGATGCCCAGGCCCTCAGAGTCTGTGAGGCAGAAGGGGAGAAGCCGTGGCTGGCAGGGATCCGCCATCCCATACTCACTCCAAGGTCCAGCTTCCTTTCACAAGTGATCCCCAAACTTGGAGTCATCCCACGATGGGGAAAAAAACTAGGGCTCTACCCGCCTCCTTTTTGCCAGGCCAACTCAGTGGGGCTACTTCCTGCCCTTTGCCCTATCCAACGAGCTGACAGGCAGCTAGCTGGGTGTGTGAGGGTAGCTGGGGTGTGGCAGACTACTGTGTATACAGATAAGGGTGTGTGGCTGCAATGGGGGCTGATCCAGGATTGAGTTCTAAGCCTTTTGGTCTCTCTTCAATTAGTCTCTTCTATGCTCAGAGCTTCAATGACCACACATGGAGACCCACTGCCTAATTACACCTGCCCCGTGTCTGTCCCACCCAAACATAAGACCTTCCCCACAAACACTCCCTGAGGACTGGCACCCTAGCCACCAGATGCCAGGCCTGGAAGTGTCCAGATTCCTCTCTCCCAGTTCCAGGCTCCATTAAGTCAAGTAACCAAGAGGCAGTACTGATTGCTACTGCCCAGTGCATACACTTTCCCTACGCCGCTGCTGATCCTACTACCAAGTCCGTCATCCATATGCCCTCTCCCTGTACACATGCCACTAAGACCTTTACTTTCTTTCTCTTTTCTTCCGTTTTTTTTTGTTTTTTTTAAATTGTTTATTTGCTTATTTTTGAGACAGGTTTCTCTTTGTAGCTGTCCTGGAACTCTCTCTGTGGACTAGTCTGGCCTCAACTACCTGCATCTGCCTCTCAAAGATATGTGCTACATTGCCCGGCCACTGTGATCTTTCTAGAATAGCTTCCCCGAGTCCCTACGATAGCTCCCAACCCCTCTCAGAAATGATGATGCTCTCGTCACGGTCCATGCCACCCTGGCCACACACTCATGCCGGATGTACTTTTCTGTTCTACCCCACACTTTCCAATCAGTTCCTCTTCAGAGCTCAGGCATCAGTGACCTGAGACTCTGTTAGCGTGGTGAGGCTCTGTCAAATGCACTGACAGTGACCTTTCGTTCTTCCCAGCACATATGACAGCGCCTAAGGCTGAAGTTAGAGGAGCCATCTCTCTTGGAGCCTGCTTCTACCTGCCTCCATGCCTCCAACAGAGCCCAGGACCCCACATACATAGTGCTTAGGAGACACGTTCACCAAGTATCATTCCTTGGCAATACCCTGGAGATACTAGCGGCTGTGGATGCTGACAAGGAATGCCAAGAAAGGTCAGTAGGGGCTGGAGTCAGAAGTCCAGCATGTGGGTACCCACAGGGGTAGCAGGACAGAGGCTAGCACCACAGAAGACCCCAGATTGGCCTGGCCTCTCACCCTTCTCCAGCTCCACAGGAAACAGCTCCAGCCTCTCCACACGCTTCTCTAGCTCATATTCCGCAGAGGCTGCCATGGGATCCACATCTTCATTGCGTCGGTCATAGTCCTCATTGGAGTAGGTGCTGAACACCTGGGGAGGAGCAGCTGTCAAGAGGTGCATGGGAGGACAAGAGCACAGCTGGCAGGAGGAGGACCATGGGCCAGCTGGCTGAGCTGCCTGAGGTCCCATGTCTCTCCCACCAGAGGCCTTTTGCTTATACCAGTCTCACAAGGAATCCAGCTCTCAGCAAAAGGGCTTCCTAGTTCTAGAGCCCAGGGGCAAGAGAGCAAAAGATCCATTCCATATGGTACAGTCTGCATAGTGGACACACCTGGGGAGACTGCAAGGTCTGCAAACCTCTGATACCAGGGGAGAGAGAGAAGACACAAGACCTAAGAGCTAGACAGCTGAGGGTGGACACAAAGGCACAGCCGTACATAGAGGAGGAACAGGCAGAGCAGACAGGAAGAGGAGGAGGGGAGGAAGGATGGAGAAGACACTGGAGGATGCCAGATGGGGAGAGGGAGGGGAGAAAAAAGGAAGGGGGAAAGAGGCAGAAGCACTAGGACCCTTTGCTGCCCAGCAGCTGAAGTAGATGGCCATTGGTGGTAGAAAGGAAGGAGAGAGGGTTCTTCTGCCCTCATGGAGAAGAGAAGGCCATTAACTCCCAGGTAGGCCTCAGGTAGCAGGAATAGGGGAGAAAGCCAAGCCCCTATGGCCCTCCCATGTGCCAGAACTGTGTCCCTGAAGAATGATATCCCTGTCCACAGGCACCAGAAAAAAACAGGCATAGGCTCCAAGAGTGGTGCCCGAAAGGGACCAAGGATCATGAGGCAGTGGTAGTCTCTTTGCCCTTGCACAGTATCCCTGTGCCCCTTTGCTGTCTGTCTCCTATGTGTCTAACTCTGACCTCTTCATAGGACCAGTGAGGAGTAGGCGGGGCTTTGTGGGTACCTGATGCTGAACCCAGGAGAGTATCTGCATAGCATTTAATGGACATCACTTGAGGAACCATAGCTTGTTTGATTTTCCTGCTAGCTGTGACAGGTTAGCATCGCTTGATGTCAACTGGATGGGCCAAAAGGAAGTAGGGGGAGATCCTGTCTCCAGGAAGCTCCACGCCAGGACCTCCTCTGCCCTAAGAACGTGCTCATGGGCATCCTGGTAGACAGGGTTATCCCATGCTCCAGCTTTTGTTGGGGCATGCTGAATGTCATCCCAAACTTCCAGCCCCACCACAGAGGTGCACGGTCTTGATGGTAGGTAGAGAGGATGCTTATAGGACCAGCCCGAAGCACAGCTGGGGTTTGTGTGTTCATCTAGCTCAATGCCATAACTACACAGTATCAGACATTCAGGATCAGGCCCTTCGTGATCATCTAGCCACTGTGCAGTGGCCATTGGACTATTCTCAACATCTGGCCAGCTGGTCAGCAGTCCCAGCCCCTTGAAGCAACAGGCTCCCTATTCCACAAATAATCCATTACCCAAGGTCACAAGGGGTTGGTTAGCCAGTAGCAGGGCAGGATGGCACCAAATTCAAGATGGGCTGGAATAGGTGGGTCACTAGTGCCTTTGTCCCTAATGCAAAGGTGTTCCAAGCTTTAGTACAAAGAATGGCATAAGCCTGGATCAGCAAATTGGCCTTGGCCCACTTTTTCATCTGAGGCCTTTACCCTATGCCCAGGAGACAGCATCCCCCAGCCCTCTCCAAGTCAGCCAACCCCTCTCCACTTCCCATCACACACACCCCACTTTGACTTCCAAAAAACTGGCCTGGGCCTCATCTTCTGTCTACAACCTGTTTACCTTTGTCAGCCTGCCCCTTGCAGGAATCCCAGGCAGGCCTCTGGCTCAGAGGCCTCAGACCACCAGTCACTCCGGCTCTCAGAAGGCCCTTGGCTCAGCTATCTCAGTTGACAGTCTGGAATAGTGTTCTCTGCTCTCAACAGATACCTCCACTTCCATAACCGTGACAATTGGGTCAGGGAGGGGCAGAGAACCCTGGCTTCAGAATCAGTGTCGCAGTGGCAGTGAAAAGCCTGGGGCCCTGGGCTAGGGTGGGGGAGGAGGAACGCCCCAGAAAGGCCAAAAGTCAGACACAGCCTCTGCACTGCCTTGGCTCTCACACTAGTGGCCAGCTTGTTCCAGAGTCACCAGGGAGTCCAGAGCACTGCTCCAAATCATGTGCTATTTTTTACCAAAAAATCAGGGTAAGGCGTCAGATATAGACGAGGCCCAGACCACACTCCTCTCTATGAGGGCATGGGGCTACTCAAAGAACCCATGGGGATGAGGCAATGGCCTGACACCCTCCCAAGAGCACCACAGTCTCTGCTCCTTCCTGGATCTCCCTGCCTTCAGAGGGAACAGGGCATGGAGAAGTCTTCCAAATTCCCAGGCAGGGAATTTGGGGAGGGAGCTGTCCACCCTTAACCTTTTAGACTTCTGCTGGCCTAGGAGGGGAGACAGTAGAGGGTGAGAGAAACTTGGGCAGCTTTGGTGTCCAGGAGTAGCTATGGAAACTGCAAGCAAACACATGGGGTTTGGCTGGGGAGGGCAAGGAGGGGCAGGGTCCAGGCCAAGGAAAGTCCTCAGTGCTGTATACAGCCACCCAGCCCACCTTAGCAGGTCAGGTGCTAGGCACAATCAAGCATAGGTTGGGAAGAAAAGGCCATCACAGCAGAAGTGCCAGCTGAGCTCACAGGGTAGTGGGAAATGGGAGTGGTCTCCTGTTCTTAATTCTCCCCAGGGGACATCTTTTCTCTACCACCACTACTCAGAAGATCTCAAAGCACTGAGTGGCTCTGCTCGCAAACCAATCACCAATAGTGGTGTTAGAGATAGGGGGCTGGACCCTCCCATCCAAGTGAGTCCCCCTCCTCTTTTAAAGTAGCCTGGGAATATGAGAAGGGGTAGATTCCTAAGGCTATAGGCATGTATGTCTGCCAACACCTTAGGGCAACTCTCAGGCCCACCACCCCCCTTCTGTGGAGCCTGCAGAAGGCCTACTCCTTCAAGGGCCATATAAGATGCCCCTTTCCGGTGCAACCCTGGACATGGGAAGCTGGCCCAGCACAGACCATGAGGTATAGGGTCTTTCCCCCAGCCCAGTCACAAGGCAATGGACCAGCTCACCCTCACAGTCTGCTTCCTTCTTTCACTTCTGCAAAGTTGGGGTGGGGGTACTGACAGGGCAGGACTGCAGTCCCCCATATCTTTGTTTTGGGAAGTTCCTAGCTCCCCTCTCTCAACCCAGGCAGAGCCAGCCTTACACATCAGGAAGCAGGAAGTGTCCCTAAGCTCCCCATCCTTCTCCCCTGACAGTAGGGCATACGCAAGAACAGTATCCTGAGGACAGGAACAGTATCCTGAGGACGCATCCCACACCCCTTCAGGCCAGCCAAGTCCCAGCCTCTGGCAGCCTCTGGCAGCCTCAGGAAGAAAGAATGTCTGGGGGAGGAAGAGAGAGCAGGTGTCCCAGAGTAGGCGTGGGACAGGGCAGGATGCTGGGCGGGGCAGCAGGCTAGGAACCTGAGGGCAGGTCGCAGCAGGCCACCTTCACAAACACAGACCTGAAAACCTTCCCACTCTGACAAACAGCTGGAAGTCCCCCACGCCCCCCTCATTGTGGGAACTTCTGGGAACCCAGCTGGGTGGCAGGGGCTGACTCAACCTGCCAAACACGGATGTCTGTGCGAGTGGCGGGGGCGACCACTCGCACGTGGCAGGGGCAGCGTGGGGGCCCCGAGGGGGATCACTCACTTGGATCGGTGCGGTGCTGAAATGGATCTTCCGACTCGGGGCCGGATCCTCTTCCTCTGAGAGGCCGGGAATCTCCACACACCCTGACTCCGGCTCGTAGGGGGGCTCACCGTCCTCCTCATCTTCTTCATCGTCCTCTTCCAGGGCACTGCCCCCAGAGTCCTCCCCGAGTCCACTGTAGGCGCTCACATCCACCAAGTCCGCTTCTGAGAAGTCCTCCTTCTTGGACTCATCCACCTCCTCAGGGGCCACGTCCGGGGCCCCGCCATTGTCCACCCCCCTTTCCGGCGTCGCCACCGACGCTGCCTCCTCCTCGGGGACGGCCTCGGCCTTGGGCTCCTCGGGAGCGGGGCTGGCTGTGGTGGCCTGGGTGCTGCCATTCTCCAAGGCAGCATGGACGGTCACCTCGGCCTGGATCACTTCCCCGGGGGCCGACTCGGCCTCAGACTCCCCACTTTCCTCAACCTCCACCGGCTTGATCTTGCGCACCTCCCGCGGCTTAGGCGGCGGTCGGGCAGGGGCCACTCGGTGCTGTGGGGGCTGCTGCCCTCCCGTGCCTCGCTCCTTCTCGGTCGCGGCATCCCCCGACGGGGCAGGAGGGGGCGGCGGTGGCTGAAACACCCGGGACCGCTTACTGACCAGCTTCGAGTTGACCTGGGGCGCCCCCGCGGCCCGGGGGGGGCCGGGCGCACGGTGAAGGCCGGTCCTCGAGTCGGCTTTCTCGAAGACGGCACTGAGCTGGCTGACCGTCGGCGACACGGCGTCAGCATCCAGCTTGTCCAGCGCCTCGGTGCT